TGTGGCCGTCCTTCGAACATAACAGTCCTTCCCCCCTTAGGACGCGCGATTTGCAATAGCAGCCAGTGTGCAATTAGATACGTAGACCTCTGTGATGCGAGTTCTTCCTCAGTCGAGATCCCTCAACGAGCGTTTGTCGCTTCAGTCTGCTTCGGAACGAACACAGCCGGGCGGAATTTGACGCTAGAGGAAATAAGCCATAGAGCAAGAGAAAAATATCTCGCGGAAATAGAAAATAACCCTGGTCATTCCCCTGATTTACGCCTAAAGAGAAAGCCGATATTACAGCACCTGTGTAAACGTAAGGAGTAGGTTTGTAGCTGGCAAGGGATGGGGATGGGACCCTGGCTGACAGCTTTCGGATCTGAACACAGCTGCAGGATGGGGATGGCCCTGGTCGAAGGGATTGGGAAGGGACCCTGGCTGGCAGGATGAGGATTGGGGGAACACAGCTGCAGGATGGGATTGGAAACCCTGGCCATAGGATTGGGGATGGGACCCAGGCTGGCAGGATGGGAAACCTGTCTCAAAGGATGGGATTAGCACCGGGCCCCTAAGATGGGAGATGGGAGTCGGTCACCCCAGCCAGGATGGGGGGATGGCTGACCACTACCACACCCCGGGATTGGGGGATTAGACCGTTTTTGCAACCCTCTGTCTTCGCCGACCGCTTCATCTTCCGCGGCAGTTTCACGAGCCCAGAGTTGCAAGCTACGATGTTGGCTTTCGGTGCTTTTATTTACTGCAAAGCATCGACGCAATAGTCCAGCGTGCGGCTATGACCAACATGCTCACCTGCGCAACGCGCTGGCGCACCTGGTCCTCATCCGCCAAGAAATTTTACATACATTTGTACAGGCGCATTTTGCGAATCGCACGCGCGCATCTGCGCGGCAAAATTCGTTCCTGACTTTTGGGACGAGATGTACGGAGTCCCTATTCGCGAAGTACGACCGGACACATTTGTGCGAGAGGCTGCTTAACCACACAACACACAGCAACAGTGTTTGTGGTAATCTGTATATCTGTGTGTGCACAAGGACTGTGTGTGTTCAAGAAAATATGCGGACGACCCTTGCATGTGCGTCGCATCCTGCCGACCTAGGTGGTGAAATGCAGCAAGTGAATTCTGGGCGGCCCGGTTGCAACTGGCCCAGCAGTTGCCAGCGAATGGTTGATGAGCAGCGAGTGTAGGTGCCTGCCTTGGCCTTGTTTACACTCCCTTCGCTTTCCTGTCTGTTTTGGGCTACATGTGTCTAAATGTTGAGGCTTGAAAGGAGAGTTCTCGTTTCAGGGGAGTACATGTCCACGGGCCATGGCATGGCTACACTGCTTGGCAAGCAGCTTGCAGAACGGATGACTGTGGAG